TTTGAGAGAGAGAGAATGAGAGAAAGCGAGTACATGAGAGGCGGAGGGTCAGAGGGAGAAGCAGACTCCCCGCTGAGCAGGGAGCCCGATGCGGGACTTGATCCAGGGACTCAATCCAGGGACTCGATCCAGGGACTCGATCCAGGGACTCCCGGAGCATGACCCGAGCCGAAGGCAGTCGCTTAACCAACTGAGCCACCCAGGCGCCCCAGACATCAGCATTTTTTAAAGTTTCTTTACTGATCCTAACATAAAGCCAGAGATGATGACATCTACTATTCAAAAACTCCCTGAAATCTCTCCAGAAAACCCTCTTCATTCACTTGCTCATTCAACAAAGATGTTAATTAATCATCTGTAACATCCGACATTTAGCCAAAAATTCTGAAGAGTCCAAGAGAAATGTAGTCCATTTTTTTCTCTGTTTCACAGTCACTATGAATCAGCAGTCTGGCAGACTGCCAGTATGACTTGCATTATTAGAAGAATTCTCCAGAGTCAAATACTAATGATTCTCACTTCCAAACTAATGTACCCTTTCACAAAGGACAGGGTCACCAGATCACTGAAACAAACATAAAGGAATGCAAAACAAACAAACAGTTTTGAAGTTTTCCTATACTATTTCTTATTACAGCTCTTAAATGGGCTCAGGAAAAACGTAGAACATGGGGAAGCACAGGCCATAAAACATTGGCATTTTCAAAGAACACTTTTGAGAGTGTTCTATTCTAAAACTATTTAGAGCAATGTGATTGGGGAACAAATGTTTAGTGAAAGGACAGGAAGTGACACAATGGGAGGAAAAACAAATAGCTAATATTCTGGAGAGAGTCATGCTACAATAAAACTGCAAAGATGAGAGAAATAAAACCACATTTATTTAACATTATTATAAACATTGGCCCCAAAAAGCTTCCCTACTCACCTCATCCATTCACCTCCATTCTGACATATGATCTACATGTATACAAACATATATATGTACTATTTTATTAATAGACTCATTCCATAAATATTACTGTATAACTTGCTTTTGCCTTTTATTGTATACTTTGAAGATCTTTCCATAAAAGCATATATAAACCTATCTTTACTCTATTTAAAATAGAGTAAAACCTGTATAATCTAGAAAAATTGTGGATATAGTAAGGATATACCATAATTCAACAAACCCCTCATAGATGAATATTTAGGGTGTTTCCAGTATTTTGCCAAAACAAAAGGACTGTTTTAAGACCTTTTTAGTCCTTGGCCTCTATCGAAATTAGTATCATATATATTAAAATGTGGTTTCTCAGAAATCCACATTCATATGCAGATATTAAAATCTATACTGTACACCTGAAACTAATATAACACTGTATGTTAACTAAAAGAAAAAAAACTAACTTATGAATTTTGAAATATTTTTGTTTTTACCAAATTTAATAATTAATGAAAGTGACATAATACAGCTTGTAACATAATTTTCTTTTCATATTTAGGAACAAACAAAAAGTTTTCAGACCTCAAGTATTTCCAAAAGCCCATGAAAAACTAAGCATTGCACTTGGAGTCCACCCCAAGCAGTAATTAAAAAAAACAACAAAACCAACACCTAGAACTTGTTATGTGCTTAGAATACTATTCTAAGTATTCTACATTTATTCATGCATGTAAGCTTTACAACAACACTATGAGTTGGGGGTCATTATTATTACCATTTTATTTTTGAGGAAAATGACACATAAAGGGACTAAGTAATCCGTCCAGTTTCACAGAGGTAATGTCATGCTGTAAGGATTCAGAAGCAGGCAATCCACCATGTTACTTACACTTGTACATAGATCTTTGCTTATCTATAGGCTAAAGTTCTACAAGTAAAATTTCAACTCAAAGTGTATGAGCAAGTACAACTTTGATGTATGTTGCAAAATTATTCTCCAAGAAGCTAACACTAATTTACCTTTCTGCCAAGACTTTATAAGAGGGCTTATTTCTCCATACCCTCCATAACAGTGGGTATTATCAAATTATTTCATTCTTGCCAATCTGGTAGGTGGAATAACTTCCTTTTTAAAAATGGATATTTCTTTATTGTTACAGGACTATTGGTCATTTGTATTTATTTTTCCAAAGCTATCTATCTGTTCATTTGTTTAATTCATTTCTATTGGATATAATGTTTCAGCACATTCAACAACAAAATTGATAAATTAAGAAAGAAATTAGTTTAACTTTAAAGCACTAATATTATGGTAAAAGGAAAGCAAGACTTTGTATCATATTAAATATATACATACGTGTGTATATATAAAATTTTTTAATGGAATTATCTTAGATTATTTTAACAGTGCCAATAAACACACTGTATAATTCATTCTTGGAATAAAATTCTCAAGGGAAACCTGCTCTTAAACTCCTATCCTGATTTAGACACTGTTCAGTGAAATGTAGCTAAAGTTTTGCCTCAGTAAGATGTAAGCCATTAAATATTCTATCACATTATCAAAGATTTATTATCCTTAATTTATTACATTTTTTCATTGCTTCATCACCATAATTAAGAAATAATGATTTATACGCATAACTAGTGTTGTTCTCATTATACCCTGAAAAGCAATAAGACAAATTATTCTTTGGTCACAAAATCGCTTATTTTACATAAGCTTTTAACAGGTAGCTATTTTTAATTTTACCATATTATACTCCAATATTTCTTTTTTTTTTTTTAAGATTTTATTTATTTATTTGAGACAGAATGAGAGAGAGAGAGCAGGTGAGAGGGGGGAGGGTCAGAGGGAGAAGCAGACTCCCTGCCGAGCAGGGAGCCCGATGCGGGACTCGATCCAGGGACTCCGGGATCATGACCTGAGCCGAAGGCAGTCGCTTAACCGACTGAGCCACCCACGCGCCCTATACTCCAATATTTCTATGCTCATTCTTTCTTGGTGTTTATTAAAATAAATTGATGGATTTTAGCATATATACCTTGGAGGTATTAACCCTTGCAACCTTAAATATACAGTAAATATATTCTGATGATTAAATGAATAAATTACTTGGGACCAATACAATGATCAGAAAAACAGGAGTAATTTATGCCATATTCCTTCACCAAGCAGCACAGGAATCAAAAAATGAAATTTGTCACTGCACAAGAATTGAGAAACTCTACTATCCATTTTGTGCCATAAATCCAATTCTGTTGTTCACAGCAGAGTTTCTCAACCTTGGCACTATTAACATTTTCACCAGATAATTCTTTGTTGTAGGCGGCTGTCCTATGCACTGTAGGATATTTAGCAGCATCCATGGCCTCTAGCCACTAGTTACCAGCAGTACCTTCCCACCTGACAAACGAAAATGTCTCCAGATATTGTCAAATGTTCCCTGGGGACAAAAAATCACCCAGGGTGGTTTAAAGATAGCTAACATTATAAGTGTATAGCTAAATCCAAAGTGAGACTCCTGTGAAGAACTTCAAAACTTGGGAATAACTTCAAGAATCCCAATATGGTTGCTAGAAAAACCTCCCTAATTCAGTGTACTCCCATGCCTCCCTTCCATTCAACAGTCAATCCACCGTAACTTTTAAGCCTTCATTTTGTTCAGGTGACTCAACAAGCATTTGTTAGTTTCTTCCATCCCACCTGCCCAACTTTAAAGTTATCAAACCCCTTTCCAAGAGTTAGTCGCAGGATCCTACCACTCAGTTAATCATTTGTAACACCAAAATATTACTGAACAATAGAAAGGAGATGGTTAAATTATATTAGATGGGGACTTTTGGCTGAGTCTTTTGAGGTAAAGTGCCAACAGGTCAGATGATACTACGTATCCAATATTGAAGACAAATGAGTGCATAATCATTCCTAGCTGTGGTTCTGACCCAGAAGACAAGTACATACAGTGCTTATTAATAAATATGTTTCTTTGTGTTGCTCCTAAAAAAAAAAAAATCAAGGGATGAGTTAAATATCTATTTATTTGAAAGAGAAAGAGTGTGAGAGCACAAACAATGGGGGGAAGTGCAGAGGGAGAAGCAGCTCCCCACTGACCAGGGAGCCCAGTATGGGGCTCGATCCCAAGACCCTTGGCTCATGACCCAGCTGAATGCAGATGCTTAACCAACTGAGCCACCCAGGGACCCCTGAGTTAATTATTTAAAAGTAGAGTGCCTTAACTATGTTTTCTTTTCTTTCTTTCTTTCTTTTTTTTTTTTTTTAAGATTTCATCTATTTATTGGATAGAAAGAGCACAAGCAGGGGGAGCTGCAGGCAGGCGGAGAGGGAGAAGCAGGCCCCCCTCCTTGCCCCACACAGCAGGGAGCCTACATGGGGCTCGAACCCAAGACTCTGGGATCATGATCTGAGCTGAAGGCAGATGCTTAACCGACTGAGCCACCCAGGCGCCCCATTAACTATGTTTTCTAAATTTAAAAATATACTATTAATAGCCTCTAATACTTGAAAAGGACTTAAAAACACATTAAGATTTCTCAAAACTCCTTTAAAATATTAGGCAACAATAACAAGATGAAGAACTAATTTATTTAAAAGCATATAACAGAAGGCATCTCTGCTTAAAAAGAATTCAATTAAAAGTCAAATTTTTATACTAAACACTTCTGACACCTATGAGTTTCTTCTTTACCACTCAGTCTTCTCATTTCCAAAATGGTTCTGCCAGAAAGTTTTGAGTATTGAATGGGAAATAAATAAATAAGTAAGTAAGTTTTGAAAAGAATGAACCATTATTCCAATATAAGTAACTGGGCAAGTGACTATAACATCACACAGAATTTTGATTTTCAGAATTACCAAAATTAGTGATCACAATGAATAAAGTTAATATATTTTTCAAAACATTTCTTTCTGACCAAACAACAATCAGTTCATTTTTAATTAACTTTTCATTACTTGGAAAAAATAAAGATTGGAATTTTAAATCTGATAAAGTAAAACTATAAATAATAACACTAATATTTAAACTGTTCAGATTTTCTAAATACTTACATTACTTGTAAACTTTCTGCTGTTAAATTATTCCACATAATTTCATTTGCCTGAAGATTTTCATTTTCTTCTAGTAAGGAAGTATCAAACTCAATTTCTTGCTCTTTAGCAGTCGTTGTTCTAATAAAGCATGCCAAATAATTTTGATCAATATGAATATACTATCATAATATATCTTAGTATACACCAAAGGCAGAATATTTGTTATCCAAAATTATGTTCACAAAATAAAGTAAATACAAATAGTATAAATCAAATTAAACCCCAGGCACCAAAATCTAGTCACATAATTTCAGCCTTAATTTCATTTGTAGAATATGGCTATTAACCTGTTCTATTCCTGTCACAATTTTAATGAGTATGCATGGATAAATAATTGATGCATCGTAAATTTAATATACATATAAAGTCAAAGTATTATCATTATACAAATGTTGAAAAAATATATAACTTCATGGATTAAATACAGGTTTAAGCAATGATACAGTAACAACTGAAAAATTTTTTAAAATAATTACATAAATTAAATAGTTATCACTGAGAAAGAACTTTAAAAATAATTAAAAGCAGATAAATTAATCAGTAATACTGTATGTCCTAACAAGCTCTTCAATATTTTATTTTAATTTAGCTAAATACTATATGGTAGAAAAAAATAATACTGTCACAAATACTGAAAAGAAGAATGAAAATATTATACATACCTGTGAACATCTATGAAATTATTATATTCTGTGCTAGGGTCTATCTGTTCAACTGACATTTGAATCTCTTTATGGACATTCACTATTTCTTCTGTAACAAGACTGGTTATCTGGCTGTATTCATCAAATATACCTTTTCTGAAAACAAAAATAAAATTTTACAACATTTTTAAGTTTTCAAGGGAAACACAGGCCGAAAAAGGATTCAGAACAATAAATGTAAGAAATGTAGGGCGCCTGGGTGGCTCAGTTGGTTAAGCGACTGCCTTCGGCTCAGGTCATGATCCTGGAGTCCCTGGATCGAGTCCCGCATCGGGCTCCCTGCTCAGCAGGGAGTCTGCTTCTCCCTCTGACCCTCCCCCCTCTCATGTACTCGCTCTCTCTCATTCTCTCTCTCTCAAATAAATAAATAAAAAAAAAAGAAAGAAATGTAATACCAGTATCTATAGATGGTGATTTTATGCACCACCTTATTTCATATACCTGGACAGTAAAGGGATTATACAAAGGCACAGATTAACAAGTTACATTTGATATAATGTAATAGTTGCAAATGATCTAGAATAAGACATCACCTTTTCCAACATGTATTTGACATGTCCAAAATGTAAGGTCAGGTTGATCACTTTCTATTTCTAAAGACTGAACATAGAAATGTTCAATTCCAGCACATGGAACTGTGGATCAATTCCCGTCTCTTTAATGTTTCTCTCTGGCTGTTACTTCCTCAAATGTCCTACCTCTTGGTTTTCTCTTGCTCCTGGGCCCCTGCTCTTTCCTCTATACTTAAGAGTTCAACTGGTTCTATACCTTCAGTGACATCTAGATCTCTTCTCCTGACCTCCAGTCCGCAGGAAAAATGTCATAAAACATATTAGCTTTATCTAATGAATACAAAAAGAAAAAACTATGCTGTAGCAAAGACCTGATCTCCAACTTAAGAATGCTATGCTGTCAAAACATACCACTGGTCAAAAGCGGCCTCAACAATGAGTGTGGACAGATAGGCTTATCTTGCCTTTTCCCAAATAAATATAAGGCATAGTTTGCTCTTCTTTTCCAAAATCATTACTCATAAAAAACTATTACTCACAAAATCTCTCTTGTTTACTATTCTCCCAAAAGCCAAATACTGTTTGGGTTAAAAAAAAAAAAAAGATTTAAACTGCTTCAGGCAATGCTAATTTGAAATGATTACAGGAATCACCTGACAAAATTTAAAGAAAAGGGGAAGGCAGAGAAATTTAAAACAGATTTAGTAAATATCCCTGGGGTTCTGAATATCTGAATATCCCTGAAAATACCGAATGATATTAATATAAATGACCCCATCTAGATAACTCTCATAAAGCAATACTATAATATGATGTGGAGATGATTATTAATATCCACCTTTAGGACAAATGGAATTTTAAAAAACGAATTCTCCTAATGTTGTTAAATGAATGTGACATGGAATTCAATTTCAGTGAAATCATCAAGCTTGAATATTTTAAATGCTAGATCTAAAATAATTTATTGTTAAAGATAATATGCTACAGGAAACTACTATGTCTCAAAAAGACATCTAGTGATGATGAAGATGCCATTATTGAATATTCATGTGAAGAATTTGAAAAAATAATGACTCATGAAATGAGAATAGGAAAGGAAGTATTTCTGAATCAACAATATTTAATTTAAAGTAGACATAACTATGGGGTGCCTGGGTGGCTCAGTCCATTAAAAATCTGACTCTTGATTTCAGCTCAGGTCATGATCTCAGGGTCCTGAGATGGAGCCCCGTGTGGGGCTTAGCAGGGAATCTACTTGAGATTCTCTCTCTCTCTCTCTCTTCCTCTCTCTCCCCCCTGCCCCTCCCCACTCATGTACTCATATGCTCTCTCTCTCTCTAAATAAATCTTTAAAAATAAAAAATAATGTATATGTAAACAAATTTATACATTAAATATTTTAGGTAGATATTTTATCAATACCATTAGAAGTTTACATATTCAAGTCAACTAAAAACACTTTTTTATCTTTTTACTGGGAAAATGGGAGATCACCTAAACCAGCTAATGAAGCAGATGAAGTCTACCAAAGCATGGCTTATCTTTTTCTGTTGTCTTGTACTGATGTCTATGGTAAACATGTGTGCTTTTGACATACTGCCCAAAGTATATTGTTAGCTCCTTGAAGGCAAAAATTGTGGCCAAATCACAGGCAGTGTGTTTTACATACAGGAGAACTTCAATAAACATTTGTTGATTTTAACCTCACACAACAAAAGCTGGCAGATAAACCAAAAAATGATTTCCTTTGATGGAGCTAGAACTCTCTAATGCTAAGTGAACTAAGTCAATCAGAGAAAGACAAATACCATATGATTTCACCCATGTGTAGAATTTAAGAAACAACAACAAATAAAACGAGCAAAAGGAAAAAAGAGAGAGAGAAACTAAGAAACAGACTCTAAGAGAACAAACTGATGGTTACCTGAGAGGAGGTGGTAGGGTGATCATAGGGGATAAAGGGGATCAAGAATACACTTATCACAATGGGCACAGAGTAATGTATAGAATTGCTGACTCACTACATTGTATACCTAAAACTAATATCACACTGGAATTAAAATTAAAAACTTAAAAAAATTATTTCCTTTGGACTTCTCAGTTGCTCAATATTTAAACACAACCCTCTAAAGATAGATATTCACTTCTTAACGCTTGTCAACTAGTGAATTTTTTTAACCTAAATTTCCAGCTAATGGGAGTAGAATAAAAATATACAAAAAGAAGGACCATTCTTAGGGCTAGCTGGAGGATTTAGGAGATGATAATAAGCTGAATGGACACCAGAAGTGAAAATCAAGAAGGACCAAGGTAAAACAGATCTGAAATACACATTGGGCTGGGTCAGTAATGAAGGTCACAAAACATAGACAACCTCTATCCAAAAGCTTACCTAGGAGAGAAAATAACATTAATTAAATTAAATTAAAATGCCAAAAAGAAAATGTAACTTACAGTGCTTTTATCATTTCTTCTTGCATCTTTTGTAAGGAGTCCAGAAGCAAAGGAAGTGTGGTGTCATAATACTGATTCTGATGAAGTTGTGCCCCTTTCAATGCCAATACATACTGATTATGCAACAGATGAAGTTTCATTGTTGCTTTGTCATATCGTTCCTTGGCCTTTTCGGTTTCTTTCCCTGAAGAAAACATTGAAGAACGTTAACAAAGAGATAAAGAAACCCTATCTTCTCTATATGCAAACTGAGCGACCACCATTTTATATCTCACACATTTTATGAATACTCAACAAAATTTTATTGAATATATACTATATGCTCAGCTCTATGCAAAGTACTACTTACTTGCCAGTACTGTGCACACAGGCTGCTATGAAGGAGGCATAAATTACAGTAAATGTTTGGTGAATGTAAGTTAATGTATAATATTTTATGAAATTATACAGAAAAATAATCCTCATTTTCAAGAAGCTCACACCGAATTGGAACAACAATGCACATAGACTGTATAACAAAAGAAATAAGAAAGTTTATAAATAATGTTAAATTTTGAGGTCTGTATTTACGGTATCAATAAAGACAAGGGGAGTCAGAGGAGGCTTTGTAGAAAAACCAAACATGGAGCATGTCCAGGCAGGTATAAGAAAGGCAGAACGGACAATAATTCCTCCCTTTCTGCCTTTCTTCCTTTCATTCACTGAATTTTATTAACTGATCACCACCAGAACTATGCTAAACATTAGGAATTCAGTACCTAGCAAAACCGAGTCCTCAACATAGAGCCCCTGGTCTGGTGAATTGGAATAGTGAAGGGAAATACGGAGAGAATAAGCAAAATTACATAGGCAAGCAAAGAAATAAGCTCAAAGAGAATAAGTTTTAAGGAAGTGAAGGCAGTATGTCTATAGAGGTAGGGCAATTTTAGGTTGTGAATGATTTGAAAATCAAGCAGAGAAATTTAAACTTGATATGGGAGAAGTCTAGAAGATATTGATAATATTATGAACTAAAACTTTTGGGGGTGCCTTTACTAAAATCACTCAGAAAATATTTACAGATTGACAACATAAATGACTCTATAAATAAAATTTTTAAGCAGGTCTTCAATTTTTGGTGCAAACTGAACAAACATTTCTTGTTAATTATTTAGATTTAGGGATTAAACTTTTCAAAATATTTATTAATTTTTGTCCTTTTTCCAAGGAGAATCCTCCAAATGAATCTTTTCCCAAAAATTGATCTTTTTTGAGAATTTTTGACACCACAGGCTCTCCTGTGCTGCCACTCTGTTTCAGCTTGGCACCCATCTGAGTATTCCCTATAGGTAGGAGTTGGAAAAGCATTCCCTGTTGTAGGATGTCCCTAGCCCAGGGCCAAAAGGAGAAAAACTCAGTGTTTTTGTGGAAAGGGGAGACTGCAGACCCTCAGATATGCACGGGCAGAGCAACAGAATAAGAACAGTTCCCTTGCCTTTCTCATCTCCCCTCCGATTCTCAGGCATAGGAACCACATGTAGCTCACCAGCTGGGCAATCTTTCCAGCACACTGGTAGATCTCTGCCACCTACAAATTCTAGTGGTTCCAAGTGCTAGAACCACCACTGACTTCTAGGGAGCTGCACATAATTATTTTACAGAGCATAATTCTCTAGCCATAGTCCATGAGCTGGTTCCTGCACATGGGGATATTACTAAATACCCAAGTTATCTGCAAATTGCTGCCCTAGATACCTATTTTGCTTTATAACATAAAGAACTTCTGAAGGAGAAAATATTTTAATCACCAGAGTATCTATTCTAACCCTTCTCATTGCTGTCTGGAAACAGGTTCTAATACCAGACTGGAAGGATGGGAGTAAATATATTAATTCAGTTCTGATCTGAAGGGATCAGAAAAAAATAACATGAGCCACTACAGAAGTAGATTTTCTCACTTTTTGACTACAGCTCACAGGATAATATATTTTACGTCATGAGCCAATAACCATATCCATTTTTAAATATATATATAATTGAAATAAACTCATGAAAGGCATCCTTACTATCCTTACTATGAATGATGCCCTGTGATTTTAAAAAATTCTATTATATCTGATTTTCAATTTCTTTAAATCTTCATTGAAAAACCAATAAATTTTTTTGCCTCAGTTAATACAAATCCCTAGAGAAATTTTTACTCATCCTGTATGGTACTAGGGATAATCTTTTTAACTTCACAATTACAAATCACTTCAATAATACTAATCATGAATGATTTTTAAGATTCTCAGGAACACATTCTCCTACATGTTCAATCACTATAATAGTTTTTTACATAGAATACTATATTTATTTATTGATAAATATTGCTACTTGGCATCCTTCAAAAAATGTCCCCAAGTGTCAATGCAGTTGACACATCTATGGCCAGCCTCAGAGCCTCCCTCTAAAATAACAACCCCTTTTTTTCCCTATCTACACAAGTCAGGACTATACTCCTATATGAAACTAATACCCAAGAGTCAAAGTGCATACCCAACCAAACTGAAATCAATGTTTTGGTTAAGAGCCAAATCACATTAATGTCTGAATGAGACAGAAAAGTTCAAAAACACCTGCTTCAGAAGCCTCCAGAGCAGCCCTTTCGAGGCCTTTTTGTTGTTGTTGTTGTTTTAATTTCATTCATTTTTAAGCTAGTTTAAGGATATGTTAGTAAAATTTGGCAAATTCTGACAAGAGTTCAAAAAGTCATATACAATTATACAGACAAATTGATCCCAAGTAATAAAGAAGTTTTCCAGAGTCTACACGTTGATAAGAAGAAAATAAGGCAAGCATTTACCAGGCAAGAATATTTAAGTACTGTGTTCTAATTTGTTAATTTTTATTATAAATTCAAAATTATAATTATGTAGTAAATTCAATTAATTTCCATATTTTATGTCACTTTTTAAAAAATATTACTTTTTATATGAACTCTATTATTCCTAATTAATTACTTGGAATTTTTAGTGTAACGTCAGGAGTCAAGCTCTCCACACAAACATTTTCATGGAGACATTTAAACCACCCATCTGTCCTCCTATTTGCACAGATTTTTAAACTGCACACTATCCATCTGTCTTTCTAGCTGGTGAAAAATGATGCACTAAAATGCAACATTCAGCTAAGATTTTGTAATTTAAAATAACATTAGAAAAGTTAAGAATTCCACTTTTTTTCTTTATCACATCTAGTATATGACAACCTGAAAAAGACTATTACAACCAAAATTAATTATCAACAGCTTATCAGTGGTCATTAACACAATTTAGAAAAAATTAAATGCCTTTGAAAACATCCAAGTCAGAATTCATTACATTAAAATACTACTACTAATAATAATAAAGTCTTTAAAAAGAGCTTTGGGTTTAAAATTGAATTTGGGTGTATGTCTTAGTAGATTTTTGGTTTGTTTGCTTTTGGACTCTATAGCTCACACACATTTATGCACTGGGTTATAAGGTGTACTTGTATATGCACACGACTGATCAACCTATCTATATTTCCCTCCCACCCTCCTTCCTCTGTAAAAATGAACAAAAAGTTTCAAAAACATGCTCACTTGACATGATTTGGAAAGGGATTCTATTATATTTTTTCCTGATTTGCTTTAAAATAATTATTTAGGTCCCATAAAAACTATATAAGTAAATTCAAGAAATAGTAATACTCTGTGAGAACCAGTTACAAATAAATTTTTTTTCAATTCCATTCACTTCCTAAAATATGTTGCAAAAAACTACCTAACACGATTCTTGCCACATAGCTTCTTGGTGCAGAGTATTTCACATCACTATTACCCTTTCTTAACTTTTAAATAATGGTATTTGAGCTTAAAATTAATGTGAAGTATGCAGAGCAAGTAAATTTTTATTGACACAGAATTATACCTCTGTTGCCATATGACTTTTTTTTAATGATGAGAGGCATCAAAGCAGGGCATGAAGTTGTCCTATGTGTCAATTAACAGGGAGGAAAACGTCCAATTTTTCCTCCTCCACATAATGAATTTCACAAAGAAATTGAATTATAGTTCTTTTGCCACCACTTGTTATCAAATCTGTTTAATGTTTGTAATAACAGAGTGTATATACAACACGTCATGCCATAAACAATATTATGAAGCTAGCAAAACTCAATTATGTAAGTTTGACATTTACAAGAGACAGGCAAGACTACTCATTAAGCTAGTCTAGAAAGTCAAGTATTTCTTATTATAAACTTCGGAAGTGTTTACCATTTGTTAAATATTATGGTAGAAAGCCTCCCGATAGTAAACGAGAAGTGATTATTTTCAAAAAGTAAAATGCCTGCAAGAAGATGAGATCACAAGTAGGCAGAGCGGCAGGCAGAGGGAGGGGGAGAAGCAGGCTCCCCTCTGAGCAGGGAGCCAATGTGGGGCCTGATCCCAGTACCCTGGGATCATGACCGGAGCCGAAGGCAGACGCTTAACCGACTACTTACATTTGGGTAACTAAACATTCTACCATCTTACATTTTTCTTTCCTTTCAAAACATTCCTCCTCAACTATATAATTTCTACTTATTACTCTGAGCAAGAAGAAAATGAACAAGAATTCATCCTAATTTATGAGTTAATTGGGCCAAATGTCCACATATGCTTTTTCACATGAAAGTTAAAATTCAAGTATGATGTGGGAACAATGAATGAGCTACCCATTTATTCAGTGCTATTCAGACGAAAGCAGAGTTAAGAAGTCGGTTTTTTCTCAGCTTCTCCTTTGATTACATGTGCAACACAAGCAAGTCTTATAACCTATACTTTAGCTTCTAATTTCCAGTCCTGGGAGTTAAATTATCTGCCCTTACCAACTCACTGGTTTGTGGATGGAGACTGAATGGCAAAAAACTGTCAAAATGCAACAGCAAAGGCTAAGGAAGACACAGAATTTGGAGAGCTGGAAAAAACCTTTTGATCATATGCTCCTATAAAGCATTAAAAACTATACTAGGTATATCCATACTGTGCTATTTTTAATAAATTTCGTGGCATATGAAAAAACTGATCTATCAATCAAGAAATATTTACTGGATGTGTTATGGGTTCTAAACTGTTCAAGGAACTAAAACAGTGACATTTTATTTAAAAATTGAGCAAAACACCTTTAAAGAGTAAGCTGTCTAACTCTGTGCAGTATC